AAAAAAACAAATGAAAAAACGAGATCTTTCAAAACAAAACAAACACCAACAAACTTTGCTCAATAAAATTTAACTTAGTACATAAACACAATTTAAATTATAGAACGCTAAAAACTCCAAACAAAATAAAAAATCATTTTAGACCTAGTTCTTCTTTAAGCACAACAATGAGTCTTGGTGGGCCTGCAATTCTTCTTCTGTCATGGTTGAAGTGTCCTCATTTAGCATTTTTCTGTACGTCTTACATGACTCTATGCGAACTAGCTTTTCCAAATCTTTTTGTTTCTTCAACTGAATTTGTTAACCTCACCAACCTCGGCCAACAGACGTTCAACATCTGGACCGATGCTTCCTCCTGCAGTTGTTATTCCCTTTCTCTTCCCTGTCTTTGCTACTTTTTGGCCAATTGGTCGACGCACATACCTGTCCTCAACATCTTTCCTAGAGCCAGAAGTGTGATCCCCAATATCAGATATTCTAGCTTTCTTTCCTCCTCGAGATGTCTGAGATGCCCCATAAAAATTTGGCATATTTTTCAAAACCTCCCAACAATGAAGCCATTTAAAGCCTCCTTTCTTTTTTCCTTCACTATTCCACTCCATTCAAGCATTCTGCAAAACAATTGCATCATTTTCACCACTTCTTTGATCTGCCCGAAACCTATTTATTGATGCATTAAATTTGAGGCAATCTCCGTGAAAAACATAAAAATGAGATTTTGCTGACTCCATGATTCTCTGAATAAGGTTTCGTGCTTGACCAGCTTCATTATAGTACTGTGTAATTTGCCTAAAAAAACCTTCAGATGTTTATTGAGCGCCAATGACTGGATCACTTGAGATGATACAAAAAGCTCGACATAGTAAAACATCTTCCTCATGTGTCCACGACATTGCTACTGCTTTACCGCGTCTTTTAGGCTCAATTTTATTTCTCTTTTTCCGAATCTGTATCAAGACAAATGTTGTCAAGTCCTTCAACCTCCTGGATCGTGCAAGGTCTTGGGACTTCAATGGGGCTACAAGAGAATCCGGTTGTCATTAGATTTTCTTGTTGATAAGTCATCCCGAATGCTTTTGGAACGCCATATTGGGGTTTGGGGTAGCACTGACCACATATACTGAGATTGATTCATGTTCATTAAATTTGGTGATGGAGGAAAAGAAGGTTGCTTTGAAGTCTGTGAAATTGGATAAGAAGGCATTGGTGCGGGTACTTGAAGAGGAAAATTTTGAAATTGGGGTTGTAGTTGTATTCTTGAAAATTGAGTAAATTACATATTTCGTGTATAACGTGAATTTACAGAAAATGGACTGTCATCCTTCGATGAGTTTGGCATATTTGGGTTGGATATGTATGGATTGTTATCCATTACAAATTCAGAGAAATATAAGATAGAGGTGTATTTTTTTTTTTTTTATGAAAGTGTAGTGCATAACATCATACCAACAACTTAATTTATAGACGCTTCGTATTGCAAGTTGATGTTATTCAAATAAACGGATAAAAAGGACATCTGAAAACCTTCTGCAAAAGATGATGGTCATAATTGTACTATGGGCACCTCTAAAAAGCTTCTGCAAAAGATGATGGTTATAATTTCATTATGGGCATATCATTCAAAGTGAAAAACATTATTTACGCATTTGTAATAAAAGCAGTGAGCAAACATTGACGAATGCAAATTGACAAATCAATATTTTTTTTTTATGCAAATTGAATGACATATGCAAATTGATAAATCATTATTTTTTTATGCAAATTGAATGATAGATGCAAATTGATAAATGCAATCAAATAAGATGGTCAACTTTTATTTTTGATGTGTGACAACACAATATTTTACTACATTTAAATTAATAAAAAATATATTAAAGGTATTAGTAAAATTAAAATTATCTTTAGGCACACATTTCAAAATAATATCAGATTTTGTTTTTTAATGTGACAACAAATCTTTTTGTTCAAATTTTACTTTTAAATCATCAGAAAATACAAAAACAATAAGTAAGTAATCAAAATAAAATATTAGCTTCTAGGTATACTATTAGCGTTTACAGAAAATTCATTTATAAGATTCATTTTACTTATTTCTTTTACAAGCAAATTTTGTTGAAGATTGTTGTTCGAAAATACCTCATTTATAATTGTTGAAGATGTAATGGTACATGGAAAAATTGTAGAGAAAATAATCTCATTTATTGACGAAAATTCACAATGCCAATTCTTATCTGTTCAACACATAAATCAAAGCATCTGACAAAAAGAAATGGTTGATGGATGACAATACATGTGCAACTTTCATTTTTTGACCATCACTATTCCACACATCTGACAAAAAAAAAAAATGATAACAATTGAAAGCTAATTTATGGATGACAACTCAAAGTTGTACTAAAAATGAAATGATTGATGGTGGGCAATTCACTGATGCATGCAACTTTTTTTTTTTAATATCACAATTCAATTTTAATAATATAAAACAGTGTAGAATAATTAAAATAACAATTCAAGTTTATAATTCGATAATTTGAAATTATAAAGTAATAAGCAAAGTTCGTTATTACTCGTTCTTGTTCGAAAATACTTAGCTTTCAATTATTATTTTTCGACAATAACAACAACTCGTTCTTATTTCAATTAATTTTTGTCGTTTTCTTTTCGGGGTGTCATGGACTCTATTTTTTCAAACCAAACAACCTCGTTTTACTTCTTTCTTTCACTAGCAAAGATTGTCGGAGTCTGTTCTTCTTAAAAATTACTTCATTTTTAATTGTTATTTTGAAACAACAACAACTCGTTCTTATTTCAATTATTGCTTTTTTTTGGGTGTCAATACCTCTTTTTTTTTTTAAAAAAAAAAAAACCAAACAACCTCGTTTTACTTATTTCTTTCATTAGCAAAAATTGTTAGAGACCATTCTTCAAAAATACCTCGTTTTCAATTGTTACTTTTCGACAACAAATGCAACTCATTCTTATTTTAATTAATTGATTTTGTTTTTTCTTTTTGGAGTGTCAAAACTCTATTTTATATTAAACCAAACAACTCGTCTTACTTTTTCTTTCACTAGCAAAGAT